TACTAAATAATTATAATAATAATTATAATCTAAAAGAAAAATATTATATTAATAAAGAAAAAATTATAAAAAGTAAATAATAATAAAATATTAATTATAACAAATAAAAAAATTAGTGAATATTATAAATAAGTTAATTACTATTATAATAGTTATTACAATATTTATTAAATTTGAAATTGATTAATAAGTTATTAATATTAACCCAAGACTTTATTATAAGTAAATTAATCAATTTAATTTGACTTTAAAAATTTAATTTAAAAAAATATTTCCAAAATTAAAAAAAAAAATAATTATATTTACTAATTTTTATTTTAAATTGGTGATTTAGCGTATTGCTAGGCCTGAACAATCTGATAGGGACGACGATGAGTTCGATGAGTATATTGACGGTTCTGGACCCCGACACCCGAATCGTCGGGGTGTAACTGCGTCCGCTCGTCGGGATCGAGAACTCATTATCCAAGAGGCTCGGAGGATACAGGCTGGCCAGGCAGGCAGTTCGAGACTCCAGACACCTCCACTACCAGTTGGTGAGCAGGGATACGGTGGCCCACCTCTACCAGTTGGTCAGATGGGATATGGTACACCACCAGTACCGGTTTGTCATCAGGGATATGGTGTACCACCAGTACCAGTTGGTCAGTAGGGATATGGTGCACCACCACTGTACGAGCTCAGTCAGCATAGATATATTTTTGCTGGCCAGTTAGGCAGCTCGATACCCCTTGCACCAGCACCAGCACCTGATGGTCAGCAGGGATATTATATTGATGAGTCGGTAGCCCAGATGGATGAGGATTATGACGAGTCGGCATCTTCATATGATGAGGACGATGACGATATTCCTACACAGGCTACGGTTCCTGTGCGGCCTGCGGCTCCTTCACGGCCTGTTCATCCTGCTCCTCCACGATAGGCTGGGGGGCGTTTTGCTAGCACTGGATCCTCAAGTAAATAATTTACGTATTTATTGTTGTTTGTCATTAAATATTTTGACTTAATCATAACAAGTTATTGGTACTGTTAGTGACGTTATGTTCTATTCTAATGCAGGTATTAGCAAACGATCTAGGACTGATTGTGAGGCAGAGTGGATCGTTAGAGGTCCAGTGGCCGGTGGGCCCATGGATGATAGTGTGATCCCTAGCTTTTTAGGGCACGTAGCCTCCCGATTGTGGAATGGAGAGTGCCGAGGCTTATTGAAATGCCACCACGGAGTGCAAGCGTTTGGTAATCTAAAAGATTGGCGAGGTGATATGTCTTCCGAGACACTTGATATGATCAAGGATACTAGACTGTCACATCTGGCAGAATCCATGCACGCCCACTTGAACACTCCACTGCTTACTGCATTTGTGGAGCGATGGCAGCCAGATACTAACTCATTTCACCCGCCTTTTGGTGAAATGAGCATTATGCTGCACGATGTCCGGGCCATTTTGGACATTCCTATTGAGGGATCCATGGTCGTTGAGGAGCCGGATACAAAGGCCTGCCAGGATTACTACATGGATATACTTTCGGTCAGTAAGGCTGACCTCGTTGGGACGTTCTGGCAGCGCAGTTCTGTGGCAGAAGGCTCCGTTGTGGAGAAATTTAGGGGTACAGACCAATTGGCGTTGGATGAGGCTGGTGCCTGGATTTGGTTGCTGCTGTCTACCACCTTGTTCGACGACAAGAGTGGTAGTAGTGTGACTCCCAAGCTCCTAGCTGAGGTGCTTAACGGCGTGGATTCCATTGGGGGTTACTCGTGGGGATCGGCTACGCTGCATATTTGTACCGACAGTTAGGTATTGCCAGCAGAGGGGACTCCAGACAGCTTTCCGGCTGCTTGATTCTTATGCATCTTGGATTTATGAGTATTTCCCCGATTTCCGACACCAGGGGGACGTCTACCCCTCAGTCCTAACGACTCCGCACGATCTCGAATGTCGAGCCCACTGGCGGGTCAGAGGAAGGACGAGCGTCTCATAGCCATCCGTCGGAGACTTGACATGCTCACTGCCTCCGATGTACGTAAAGTTATTTTTATTTAAATTTAGTTACTCGTTATTTAAAATAATATAAATATTTTTATAAATGTTTTTATGCAATTATGAACAGGTGCAATTGTTGACATACGTCACCTCTATCCCACATGAGATAGAGCTGAGGACTCTTTATTGCGGGTTAATTCGGTACCACGATATCGTCGAGCCGTACTTTCCTGTGCGGTTTCTGCGGCAGTTGGGGGTCCAGACGGTCCCTCCCCCTACGTTCACGCTAATCAGTGTCTGTCGTTCCTACAAGTGTGTACGGTAAAAAAATCCAATGAATTTAACAACGCAATGTAATTTAATTTGTAATTAACAATGAATTAGGAATTAGAAAATTGTAAATGAAACATTAACCTTAAATTACCTGGCTGTAACATCTCTAGTGTCTTCCAGAACTCGTGGATATCATTCAATTCAACCGAAAGGTCAGAATCAAATGTCGTAAGAAGCGTACAGGCACAAGGAATTCCATGAGTGGTAAGCAATACACAACCGCAGCGCTCGTAAACTTCATAGCTCAAGTCTCGCATCCTCGTCATCTCAGAGTTCAATATGTTCAGACAGTAATGCGAGACCCTCAGTGTCAAGCACGCGAAAGGGAATCCCGTAAACCCCATATGCCTCCTAAGTCTCGAAGACTCAAGCGTTGTCCTAGTAATATATTACAAAACATTATATTTATTTTTATAAATAAAACGAAATACCCAGAGTTCTAATATATGTGAAACGATCTAACACAGTTAAAAATAAGGAATGTACCTTATTCTAGTTATCAGGGACTTGATCTCCGCATCAATCTTCTGCCACACTGTATCGAGCGCGCCGGTCAATGTGTGAAGCCACCGGTTCAGCAGAGAGTGTGCACTCTCCACACTACATGAAGTTGTGTTGCCAAAATGTGTTATCCGGTTAGTCCAAGCTTTCACAAACTTCTCCTTATGGACTAACCATGTATGCTCGACATATTGTAACACTTCTAGATGATTCCAGTATTTGACACGCAATTGAGCTACGACAGTGTCATACTCATCAACCGTACTGGCATCGGTAATCGCCTTTCACCTACCGCGCAAGAAACTTTGAGCTAATTTTTTATTTTTTACAAGCAGTATGTAGAGTCTGTCTTCCACATCCTTGTTGATGTGCCACGTGCAGAGTAAGTGGGCAGACTGGAGAAAGTTCCTCCTAATAGGAGTCATTAAGCCCAACTCTCTGTCAGTGATAACCACATTAGGATGTACCTGAGCAGCGGCGGATACAGAAATATTAATGAGACAGAGCAAAAATTGTTGAAATATTTTTACTATATTGCACAAAATATTTTTCTTACTAATTAAATAAAAATTAAATATTTTATTCTTACCTTAGAGCCTATCAGAGGTCTCAGCTTATGGAGAACCCAATCATAACTAGCCTCTTTCTCGTCCTTCATGAGTGCGTACGCAATCAAGAAGTTATTGTTGCACGGAGTCATGCCAATCATCTCGACCAACGACATCTTGTACCTATGCAAATGAGACCAAAAAACAAAAAATATAATCACATAAAATTTAATTGAACATATTAATTTAAATTCATACTAATAACGTACTTATAAATTAACACACTTGTTGGTTT